ACCTAGAATAGAAGATAGTTTAGCAGGAATTTATTTATTTTTACCATAACCAAATAATCTTGTTTAACATACTAATGCTAAAGTTTCGTAGCACAAAATCGTGTATATATATATATACTGTAATCCTTCCCCCTTACTGAAATTTGAACATCTCTTCGGCTAAAACCCTAATTTTACTTTCTTCGTCAAATCCTGTTCGTCAATATGAGAAGACCCAAGGATGATGCGCAATAAAGAAATCGAGGATGTCGAGCTTCTGAGAGAATGGATCGAGTCGTAGGAACCGGATTCTGGGTCCAATCCGCTTTCTCTCGATCCATTGCCGAAGGACGCAAAGATCGGCAGCATTGGGGAGGATCAAAACGGTGGCGTTTTCTCCCGGTACGCCCGGCGTTGCGAAGTTCTATCAGCTCCCGATATCGGAGAGGACCGAGAGGGGCTTGAAGGAGGGAGAGCACGTGAACATGATCGATGTACAGAGAGCTTCTTTGCCTCATGCGTTATGTGGCAATAAACTTATGCACGCAGTCATGGCTTTGGTATCCGCTTAGGCAAATAATTTATACGTTTCACCTCCGAGATTCTCGAAGTTCACGGGATTTTCTTCTTCTCGATCTCGCAGGTCCCCTTGCACTAGTAGTGATTTGTAGCTGACTTTGGTATGAAAGTTTTCTCATTCAGGATAAACTTTGGGTTCTCATATCGGAACCTTTTTTTGTTGTTGGAATTGGACAGGTGAAGAACAAAGATACGGTTGTCTAGTCGATGTTTTCATATGGCTGTACTGAATTCCTCTGCCTTCTCCTATGTGATGAGACCATCTTTTTGTGATCATTCCATTTGCAGCTCAATAATGATATACTCAACGTTCAACGTGATCAACATAAGCTTGTGAAGCGCTGTGGCCATCTTGATGCGACAATTTATACTCCAGAACTGGGTCAAGTGATGCCCTACTACATCAACGAGGTAGAGTTTTTATCTTGTAAACGTGCATAGCCACTGTTATTTCATTGTCTTGTTTGGTATTTTCTGCTACAATGCTGTGTTATATACGATGGTGTAGCAACCATAGAAAGGATATTTAGCCTGGCTACCCTGCAACGGTGAAAGGTGCCATTTGATACAAATTTTGACTTGTTGAGGTAGCATGCTTTGTTGTGTTACCTTTACAAAATTTGTTCAGTGGACTTGCAAAAACACTATTTGCTTGCTTTCATTCACAGTTAGAAGTCAAAAAGGATGGGATTTCTGGGAGGTTTTAGTGATATGAAAACTAGGAATTTATTGATTATTATCAAATTTGATGTTCTAATGGTCCTCGGTTTTCCTTTGTGAAAGAATTTCCAGAAGGGGAATCTCAGTAATGGCCTCTTGTAAGAGGCTGAGGGTCAGGTGTTATGGTAAAGGACGAAGGGGGAGAATCTTCACAGCTCTAACAACCATTAAATACCATAAACAACTTTCTTCTCTTTTGGGATACAGCAGCATCCAAATTCTTATAACTAACAAAATGCTTTCCCCCTAGTTTTCAACGCCTTTCAAATCTCCTTTTATCCCTCCAAATTTTGCTTCTTTCTAACCTCCCCGAAAAACTTTCACATTCTCACAAAGAGATCATCCTCACCAGCTCCCCAGATGGACCCATCACAGCATATACCACCTCCTTAGGACATCCCTTGGCACATTTCTCTGGCAGCCGTTCTCCCCGTCGGGGTCTCACTGCCATCAGTAAATCCTTCATTGCTGCCTCCCATGTCTCACCCACCACCGCTTCGGGATCTATCCACTTGTACAACTTGTTCTCTCTCACTCCTTTTCATGATCTCCCTGTCCCTGAACCAGTTGCTCCTCTTACTCCCTCCCCTGATGGAACCTGTGTCTTTGCTGGTGGACTCTCTGGAGCAATCCATGTGGTGAAAATCCCATCAGGGGACGTAATCAGATCTGTTCATTTTCACACCAAACCCATCTCTTGTTTTGGAATAAGCAAAGACGGATCAGTTCCCGTTTCTGGATATGATGATGGGAAGATAGTTGTTACCCCGATCTTTCAACTTGTCGCTGACAGGAATGATGGTGATGATAAGAATGGGACTGACATTGTCAATAATAGGTTATGTGCTCATGATGGTTCAGTGACTGCAATTGCTTGTTACAGCTCTATGATCATTTCTTGCTCAGTTGATTGTACTTGCAAAATCTTCAGCCAATCCAATGGATCTCTTTTGCAGACACTAGAGTTCCCATGCGAGATTCTTGGCGCGGCTGCTGCAGTAGTGATTTTGGCTAAGATACTGATGTACTTTGCCGGTTCAGACGGATCAATCTACAAATGGTCAGTGAAAAGAAACCTCACAGGTGAGAATTGTTCTTGTCTGATCCATTTGAACAGCAAACACAAGACTCTGGTTGTGTCAGTTGCCATATCTGATGACGGCAAAACCATGGTTTCCGCCGCTGAAGACGGGAGTTTGTTCATTTGGGACACGGAAACGGATGAAAGAAAGGCGGGTTTCAGAGATAACGTTAACGGAAGCAGTATCAGCGACATGTTGATCACCTCGGTTACAAGCAACAGCCGCCATGGCTACTGTGGTGAAGCAAGTTCTGATGTTAACTCGCGTGAGGTTTCCACTCAGAATGTGATTGGTATGGAGCTGTATGGTAAAATGTTGAAAGGGGAGATAGAAGAGGAAGCGGAGCTAGAAAATGTAATGATGGTGGCTGATATAGATGAATGTAAAGCTATTGATATGTTGGAAGCCGCCATTGATGCGTACGAGAAGCTTCTGGAGCTCTTGCTTAAAGAAGCTCGAAGAGAAAGCAAACAGACGAGAGGACGAGGATGAAAAACATAAACAAACGCAAACTCCATAACTGGTAAACAATATTCCTTGTTGTCTGTATTGCCGTTGTCTTCCGTTTTCTTCCTCCATTGTCATTATTATGTCGGGTCCAACATCTAATAATGTATATTATTTATGGTGATATATCGTGGCATGATATAGAAGCAACTAGAGAAAATGGAGAGATGGGGACTGAAAAGTATACGATGCGTTACTTGTACGAATCTGTGGTTCGAATTTCGATACAAATACGGATGCGTGAGTCCCACGCTCTCCCCAAGCGCGTGGAAACATTTTAAAAAAATATTCTTTTGGTCAAACCACCGTCTCACCATGAGTAGCGTAGCGACGCGAGTGGAGTGGACTCTTTTTTTTTTTTTTTTTTTTTAAAAAAAAAAATAATTTTCCGCAATTCAATTACATGAGTAGATTTCTAAAAATAACTTGGGAAAATCGTATACGATAATCCTACCTATAAAGTTGGCTATGAATATAAAACTTTACAGTGAATATGGAACTCTCCATGCGTGACGGAGTTTTCTTCTCGAACTTGCGAGATTTAAATGGGGATGGGAGACGACGAAGAACACTGTTTCTGCAATTTTCAAAGTGCTTTTTGTTGGGAGGGTTTAACTCTTAGGCGCACACGCGGCGATGTTCCATTTTTCCTGTCCTTTTCTCTCACCAGAATCACAAGAGATGCTACAAAGCAAAACGTCTTCTCTTCTACTTTCCCAGTTACCAAACACCCTGTAACCGCGGAAAAGACTCTCCCTTTTCGTGTCTTTCGGCCAAGATTGGTCCTCTAGAGCAAAACCCACTTCGAGTTTCTTCGGATTGAGTTCTCTTTCTTCGCCGTGATGGCGGTCGATTCGCCGGACCGTCGAGATTTTGTCGTGAAGATCGACGGTGAGGATGAGCGGAACAATGGCGGCGCCGGGGGTACTGTCGGAAGAATCTGGAGAGACGGCAGTTACGATTTCTGGACCGATGGGCATGGCAATTGGAGGAACGGTGGGAATGCGGCGGATGACGGCGGAAGAGACGCGGCGGAGCAAGACGAGGGTTTCGATTTCCGGTTGAACCGAAACGGCGGAGCGGAGGATCCTCCGACGAAGCTGATCGGTCAGTTCCTTCACAAGCAGAAGGCTTCGGGCGAGTTTTCGCTGGATATGGACCTCGGCATGGCGGAGCTTCAGCCGCGTGGCTTGACTCCGGTGTCTGAGTCTCCGGCGTCGGCGACGGCGAAAAAAGATTCCGATGCCCTGAGGAGACGCAACAGTCGGAGTAGCACCAACGACGACGGAGAGGTCGTGAAGTGTAGTTCCAATGCGTCGTTTCAGAGAATTTCAAGCAACTTGCTTAAGACAAGGACTAGGTCTCGGCTTCTTGACCCACCAACGCCGCCGCAGCATCCGGCGGAAACGAAGTCGGGTCGGGTCCCGAGATCGGGTCTATTGAAATCCGGATTCTTTGTGAGAACACCGAAAACTCCGGGAGAAGAGGAAGAGGAAGAAGACCCATTTTCAGACGAGGATGTACCAGAAGAGTACAAGAAAGAGAAGCTGAGTTTCTGGGTTCTGCTTGAATGGGTGAGTTTGGTTCTGATAACAGCCGCCTTAGTCTGTTCACTAGCGTTTCCTTTCTTGCGGAAGAAGAAATTGTGGAAGTTAGAGCTGTGGAAATGGGAAGTGTTGGCTCTGGTGTTGATTTGCGGCAGACTGGTGGCTGGTTGGATCGTTAGGATCCTCGTGTTCTTCGTCGAGAGAAACTTCCTGTTGAGGAAGAGGGTTCTGTACTTCGTGTACGGAATCCGAAAAGCGGTAGAGAACTCTCTCTGGTTAGGGCTTGTCCTGTTAGCGTGGCATTTCTTGTTCAGCAAGAAAGTCGCGAGAGAGACAAACAGCGAGGTGGCCCAGTACGTGACCAGAATCATTTTCTGTCTACTGACCGGTTTCGTCTTATGGCTCGTGAAAACGCTGTTGGTTAAGGTTCTCGCCTCGTCTTTCCACTTGAGCACGTACTTTGACAGAATCCAGGAATCTCTGTTCACTCAGTACGTCATCGAGACATTATCTGGTCCTCCTCTGATCGAACTCCAGAAGAACGAGGAAGAAGAAGAGAGAATCGCTAACGAGGTGAAGAAGAAATTCTCGGGCAATCAGAAAAGCCCTAGAGTCGGGAAAAGCCCCTTGGTATCTCGGTTACTGTCCAAGGAAGGAGAGAATAAGGCGATAACGGTTGACAGCCTGCATAAGATGAACCCTAAGAACGTTTCGGCCTGGAGAATGAAGAGACTGATAAATATGATCCGGCACGGAGCACTTACCACACTGGACGAGCAGATACAGGGCTCGAATCTAGAAGACGATAAAGGAAACCAGATCAGAAGTGAATTAGAGGCGAAACTCGCCGCAAGAAATATCTTTCGTAACGTCTCGAAACCCGGATCAAAGTAAATGTTTTTCTTCTTCGTTATCGGAATTCACTGCCAAGAATCCAGTCTGAGTTTTCATCTTTTGATCTTTAGATTCATCTACTTGGAGGATATCGTGAGGTTCATGCCGGAAGATGAAGCTATGAAGGCTCTGAGTCTCTTCGAAGGCGCATCAGAAAGCAACCGAATCAGTAAATCATGTTTAAAGAACTGGGTGGTAAGATTTTTCCGATCCATACGATTCACGTTCTCGTTTACATACGCAGCGTAGCGTTTAATGTGAACCGATGCGAAATCCGTACAGGTTAATGCTTTTAGGGAGAGAAGGGCACTAGCCCTGACCCTAAACGACACGAAAACGGCAGTGAACAGGCTACACAAGATGGTGGATATACTCGTCGGGATCGTGGTAGTGGTCATTTGGCTACTGATCCTCAGGATACGGATCACCAAATTCCTCGTGCTGGTCAGCTCGCAGGTGGTGCTGGTCGCGTTCATATTCGGGAACATGTGCAAGACGGTGTTCGAGTCTATCATCTTCTTGTTCGTGATCCACCCCTTCGATGTCGGGGATCGGTGCGAGATAGATGGCGTTCAGGTAAAAACACTGAGTGGTTTTTGGTTGTATACAGTTTCAGACAGGACATAACTGAGTGGTTTTTTTTTTTGTTGAAAAAAAAAACGGGGCAGATGGTGGTGGAAGAGATGAACATATTGACAACGGTCTTCCTGAGATACGATAACCAGAAGGTAGTGTATCCGAACAGTCTTTTGTGGACAAAGTCTATAGGAAACTACTACCGAAGCCCCGACATGGGAGATGGAATTGAGTTCAGCATTCACATCTCCACTCCTGCCGATAAGATCGCTCTGATGAAGCAACGAATCACGAGGTAACTCGGTCTTTAAAAAGTATAGACGTTTAGGAATGGGCTCGGGTCGGTTGGGTACTCGTGGTTTTTGGGTAACTGTGGATATCTGGCTTGCCGAGGGAGTTGTGGACTCGTGGAGGAGGGTGAGGAGGTGTCAGGTCGGCCGAGGGGACGAAAGAGAGAGTAAATAGAGCGTAACCGAAGGCCGAAGGGTGACTCAGGTCGGATCGGGTTTAATGAAATTGCAAAAATATCCTAGCCCCTTGACCCTCGCGTCGTTTGCCCGATCACCTCGCCCCTTACCCTCCTGCGGTCGTTGCCACATACCGCATCTCCTCCTATTTCCCCCGGCTCGGGTTTACCTGGGGTTTCAGGTAACGGGCCGATGAAACCTGACCTGGAACCCTTGGCTCGAGTTCTCGGACACAATATACCCAAGCTCACCTTCGCGGGGGTTCAGGTTCCCGAATTTCGGGCAACGAATACCCGCAGGCGGGTTCGGTACCGACGCAATCATTTTTTAATCGCGTAAATCCCTTTTTTCGATATGGTCGATACAATGAGTCGCGTCTGATAAATAATCTTCTGTTTGTATGATTCGTGTGCGACGGATGAAGCTACGTCGATGGAAGAAAGGATCAGTGGCACGGAGCGCCGATGATAATATACAAAGAGATGGAAGGGCTGAACAGCTTCAGGATGGCGGTTTGGCCGACGCATCGGATGAACCATCAGGACATGGGCGAGCGCTGGTCGAGACGCTCTCAGCTCGTCGAGGAGCTCACTAAGATCTGCAGAGAATTGGACATCGACCACCGCTTGTACCCTCTCGACGTCAACGTCCGAGCCATGCCTCCTCTTCCTTTGCCTGTTTCCGTCCGTATTCCTCCCTCTTGGACTGCTCCGACCGGCCGGAGTTGAACCTTGAGCGTCTTAAAACTTTGTCTGGATGAGACCAAATCTAATCAGAAGGAAATCAGCACATGAAGCTTAACCCTCTTTTTTATTAAGGTTGCAAAGAAACAAGAGTCCAAATAGAATCACTGTCACTGCACTAAGACATGACAGAGTAAACATCACAATCTACTGATAGAATTTGGTCACATTTTTCCACGGCCAAACATGGGTTTCGCTGCCTGCCTTGCAGAGAAAACCTAATAACCAACTAAAACCGTCTTCGGCGTTTCCCGGCTCTCCTGCTCGGAAAACCCCAGAAGAAACCTGTCTGAACAGCTGAAGTCGTTATGTCTGGAACAAACACCGACGCATCTGAGTGACGACGGCGTGGATGCTTCGGCCAGTTCAGCCCTGATGCTGTCGGCGGCGACGGAATCTCAGGCACTGCCCATGAAGTCTCGTATGTTTCGTCGTCACCAAGGCATTCTTTGTCTTTCATGTCTTCTTCCTCTGCTGATCTCATCATCGACGAGCTGTCTGAATCCCCTCTTCTGCTGGTATCGGCCTGCGAGAAAGATCAAAGCATGGAAGATCCGTTATTGTCGGTATACTCAGAAACAAAGATTCTGTTCTCGTTTTCCTTCTCGTGTGTGGCATCTAGAATCTAAACCAAAGCGAGGCTAATAATACAAGAAATACAAACTTTACCTTGGAAGAGCCGTTATTGTCGGTATAGTCGTAGCTCTGGCTAAAGTCGGTTAGCCCGAGAATGTCATCTAGTTGCCACTGAGGAATGCTTCCGGCTGCTGCTGAACAGACGATAAAGGAAACCAGATCAGAAGTGAATTAGAGGCGAAACTCGCCGCAAGAAATATCTTTCGTAACGTCTCGAAACCCGGATCAAAGTAAATGTTTTTCTTCTTCGTTATCGGAATTCACTGCCAAGAATCCAGTCTGAGTTTTCATCTTTTGATCTTTAGATTCATCTACTTGGAGGATATCGTGAGGTTCATGCCGGAAGATGAAGCTATGAAGGCTCTGAGTCTCTTCGAAGGCGCATCAGAAAGCAACCGAATCAGTAAATCATGTTTAAAGAACTGGGTGGTAAGATTTTTCCGATCCATACGATTCACGTTCTCGTTTACATACGCAGCGTAGCGTTTAATGTGAACCGATGCGAAATCCGTACAGGTTAATGCTTTTAGTGGGAATGATCATAGAGCAGCTGCATCTTCTGCGGCTCAGCCCTAGACACCGGTAAGGACATTGTTTCCGTAGACTTGTCGGAAGATGGTGACTTCGCCACGGAAGGACCAGGGTCTGTAGATTCAAGACCGACTCTGATTCCGGTGAGAAGAAACCGCTGGTGCGAGGAGACGTGGACGTTAGCTGTATGTATTGCAACATCGCATTTCCTACAAAGAAGTGCTCGATCTTGTAGGCAGAAGAAGAATCCGGAAGCTTCCTGGTACATCCAGATGGAAGAGGAAATTAAGAAGCATGCTGCAGCCAAAACACGACAGGAAGGGAAGCTGTCCTAAGCAAATGGAGCTCGAAACCCATCATATCCCATGAAAACCCGAGAAAAAAGATTCGATTTTCAGATCTTTTTGTTCAAGAAAGATGACCTAAACTCTCCCGGAACGGTGGAAGCCAAAGGCGGAGACTTTGATAATGTTGAGCTATCCAACTTTGGATGAAAATGTAAGTGCTTTATCCTGAGGAAGACAATCTCAATGAACAGATAACCCAAAATCCAACCGCAACTACTACAAAATTCTGATCTTGTCCGAACTATTAGTAGATCCACCAGGAAAAAAAAACTGAAATTTTATCACACTTCCATTTTTTTTTTTTGAAGTTTCCACACTGATCAAGCGAGGTCTAACACATCAAAGAGCAACGGGAGAGGAGAGGAGAGGAGAAAGGGACCTGGCAAATGTCGCATTTGGGGATGGAGGAGGAGGCGGCGGAGAGAGGGACCCTCTGGTGTTTTCCGGCGAGTTTATTGGCGGCGTGAACCTTCTCGTCGCAGCCCCAACACAGAGCCGCCTCGTCCGCGCAACACAGCACCGCCGCCTCCGCCGCCTCGCACACGTTGCACTGAATCTTCATCTCTCCCTCTCTCTAATGCATTCAAAGAAGCTAACTTTGTGTGCTCTGAATCCGTGGAAAGGTTCGACCTTGCGGGACAGAGGAACTCGGAATTTATCCGGAAGCCCTCCCTGTCTTGGATTTTTCACCTCCTTGGTTTCTGTCGGAGATTTTTATAAATTATTTTTTTTATGGGTTTGCTTGATTTTCTCGTAAGAAAAACGGGGAAGAAAACTGGAGCCAGTTTTGTCAGCTGAGGGAGGAGGTTTCTGGTTGAAGCAACACTCTCTTTGTTTCTTCTTCCCCCTTCCTGTTTTGATTTTTTTTTCTTGGGAAAAAATATCTTATTTCCCTGAAAATCCGTACAGATTCATTACTGATCGAATTTATACATTTCATTTCAATTTTATATTATTTTCATTTTTTTGGTAAATTATATTATTTTCGTATTTTGCATCGAAGTTGGTTTATACAAATTTTTTAGAAACCTCATTTTCAGATTGGACATTAGGAAATCATGTTACTCATCCCCGTATGATATAAGCAAGCAAATTACATAAATACAAGGAATATAAGGTCCACAAAAATATTTAAAAAAAAATAATTAGGTTATTATATGATTATAATTATAACGTCATTAGGAATAGGAATTATATTTAAATGCCATATTTTCCAGTGGGGTTAGTGAAATTCCCGGGGGATATTTTACGAGCCTGTGAACGCGTGAGTGACACGTGGCAATGGGAGATCGATGTCTTAAATGGAGGAGACCGTCACTGCTGTGTCGAGCTGTAAGAAAAGATCCAGAGCCGCGCGTTGTCCTCACGCGCTTCCTGACCAATTGCTCATTAGTTATTAAAACATAAGCAGATGACGATAACTCTGTCGAATTTGCACAAATAGAGTCTCATTTCTAAAATAGTTAAAATTCACCCCAAAACAATTTCTTTGAGTTTTAGAGCGATTTAAATTCGATGTGAAAATTGCTGAGGCTTTCCTTAATCAAATGGTGGAGGAAACTCGTATCTAAACAGTTTTATACATATTTTGGATTGAAAATTATAACAATATTAAGGAATAGTCACTAAAATAATGCATAAAAACTTTGATTAGTCGAAACATGAAATTTGGGTTGGAAATAAGAGATTTGGAACTAGACGTTATGTACAAATTTTATATTTCAGAGAAAATAAATGGATTCGTTATATATTTTTTTGTAAACAGTAATATAAATGATTATACCCAAAGAAAGTAGATATAAAAAAATATAATTCATGAAATGTAAAATGACATGCAAGGAGAAAAAGGAACACGTTGTTGGAGGAATGTCTTAAGAGAAGGTGACAAGTTCACAAGAAGAAGCTCCAATGAAGCCAAAGCATCTCACAGACAAAAAAAAAAAGTTTTTTTTTTTTTTATATATAAATCTAGACACCATAGATTTGGTCTCCACGCAAAGTTTTCATATCATTAAAAGGGTTTTTTTTCTTTAGATATTTGCATATGCATAAAAATATCCAAAGTTGATGTATAAATGTAAGATATGTATGTATAGATTTTGTGGATATCAAAGATAATTTCAGTTCACTTTTTCCGTTCATTTATTTTAGGGATGTTTTTGTGTGGACTTTAGTTGACCACTCTTTCGAAACAAATCTAGCTATTAAAAAAATGGGCACATGCCTCGGTGCATGTACATTTACATAGTTGTATAAGGTATTTGAACCCATGCTTAGATGTCGAGAACGAATATATATATATATATATATATATGTATATGCATGCATGCATGTATGTATGTATGTGGAGTGGTGTCGAAGCATGATTATTTGACTAGTGAACATAGTAATAATGTCAATAATATTATTATTTTATTCAAAAATATTGAGGCCGACATAAGACTGGATTTTTCGACCAGTTTTATTTTGATTAGATTATTTTTAAAATTCGAATATTTAGATTCTTAAAAATTTATATACGTTAGTTCTTATTCAGGATTTTGATCCCATTACGTAGATTTAAACTCAAGTTTCATGTTAAAAATATATTATTATTTATATTTAATCCGAATTAGATTTATTATATATATTGTTTAATATTTATTTGGTCTGATCGCGTAAAACTTATCACCTCTCCAACCACAAGTTATAACCCCAATTAGCGTGAAGGAGCCCATTTTAATAATTAATCGGTAAACTCTTCTTCTAGATGGATCTTTGATTTTTAATTATTAATTGTCCCCAACGATTAAAGGATCGAATTCGTCCACGTTCTGGGTCTCTGTTTTCATTTTCATTTCGACAAAAATGTTAAAACTTTAAATCAAATTCACAAGAATATAAATCTATTTAATTTATGACAAACTATAAATACATTTATGACGTACACCCGTACATCAGCATCCACAAAACACTTTTCGTCCGTACCCGCGTTCATAGCGTTTGCGTTTCCACCCAGACGCAAACTCAACCACACATCACCGTTCCAAACGCGGATTTCTCCATAGGCTTTAGAGAGATCCAAGTCCAACCTCTCGTTACTCGCATTTCTAACACAACAACCATGTTTCATAAACAGAGAATGGTGCAAATTCTAACCAAAGATATATATATATATATATATATATATATATATATATATATGGCGAACGGTCCAAACGAAAATCAAGCTATGGGAGGAACATATGATTTGGACTTAGATACATCCCAAATGAAGAAAACAATAACCCAGACAACCTGGAACTCAAATACCCAGTGAAACAACCAAAACAAAGAAACACATATTAAAGGCCAAACTCTCTACTCTAACTCCACTCTCTCTTAGGTTGTCTTGTTCGGCTCGAAGACGTACTTAATCAGAGACTCCTTGATGGATAACAGCTCAGGAAACTCGCCCTTGAGCTTGGAAGCGTCCATCTCGTTGTTGCTTCGAGGAGCCACGATGACTTTGGCTTGCTCCTCCAACGTGAAGTTGGCCCATTCGAAGCTCGGATCCATGTAGTCTCTGTACATTTCCAGGATCTCGTTGTGCGAAACCGCTCCTGGGTTAGTGAAGTTCCATATCCCCTTCAGGTTTCTCTTCGCCATCTCTATCGATATCGGAAGAAGCTCGTCCAGTACCGTCATGCTGTTCGGTATGTTCACTACCTTGTTGTATCGGGTTATCTTCGTGATGAAGTTTCTCGGGTTTTTCAGGTCGGATGATATTGGCATCCTCACCCTCAGTGTGCATACATTCTCGAATTCCTTCAACAGCTCCTCCACCTGCGCAATAACATTGTTCACGGGTCAGTAAAATACTCGGAAACGAGAGAGAAAGATCGATGTGAAAGGGAATTACCATGGCTTTGGTTTTCGAGTAGAAAGAACCCGTGAAGTTTGGAGTGTCCTCCTCCTTGAAGCCGATGCCTGAACCTAGGGGATGCTTTTCGTCGTATTCGAATATGCAGCCAGTGGCGAAATTCATCATCAGGAGCCCATGCTCTCTGCATACATCGGCCAGAGTCAAAGTTCCAGCCACGTTGGCTCGAATGGTCTCGGTTTTATGGGTCTCGCACCAGTCCACGTTGGGTCTCCCAGTCACACCGGCAGCGTTGAACACATGTGTGGGCTTAACGCTCTGAATATCTTGCAACAGAGATGCTCGATCCTCCAACCGCCCTTTTCCATACTCAAATGCTATCCCTTGCTTCTCGCACAACTTCCCGAGCAGGCCACCGATCCATCCAGTCCTGCCATAGATCAAGAATTTCAGCGACGGCTTTTGCAGTGAGCCGCTGCTTCTGGGAGTTGGAACAACCATGCGGGTCTGACCAGCGTCGTTGGACAGAGAGGCTGCACCGGCGGAATTCTCCTCAGACCCATCGAAGTGTCTCCCACCAGGCATCATCAACATCCTCGGGTGGGGAAGCAATGCTCCCGAGACATCTCCCCACCAATCCGGGTTCTGGGTGTACCATTCCATTGTCTTCTTCAACCCTTCTTCCCAGGTTGTCCTCTCGGACCATCCCAAGTTCTTAAGCTTCTGATCATCGAGGAAGTACCTCTGGTCGTTGAAAGGCCTGTTCTCGACAAACTTGATGCTTGCCTCAGGATCCATGTTGAAGAGTTTGCAAATGTCCTTGGCAACATCAATCACTCTCCTCTCCTTCTTCGTTCCGATATTGTAAACATGACCGACTTCTCCCTTGTGGAGAATGCATTCGAACGCCTCAGCAACATCCTCGCAGTAAAGGTAGCTCCGGACGTTGGATCCATCTCCATGGATCGGAAGCGGTTTCCCCCTCATAGCCAACAAGACAAACTTTGGGATCAACTTCTCCGGAAACTGATTTGGCCCATAGACATTGTTACCACGAGTCGTGATGACGGGCAATCCATATGATCTACCATACGCCATAACAAGCATCTCGGCACCAGCTTTTGTTGCGGAGTAAGGATTGGTCGGGAGTAACTGGGAAGCCTCGTGGTTACCGACAACGGCATCTTCATCTGTCTCACCATAGACTTCATCAGTACTCACATGGATGAACCTCCGGATCTGACCAGTCACTTTGCAAGCTTCAAGCAGGACATGGGTTCCATAAATGTTGTTCTTGGTGAACTCGAAACTGTTACCGAACGAGTTGTCGACATGGGTCTGAGCAGCGAAGTGCATTATAGTGTCGATGCCCTCCGTGATGAGTAGGTAGTTTACCAAGTCAGCACTGGCGATATCACCCTTCACAAACTTGAAGTTAGGAGACGATTTCGACGGGTTGAGGTTCTTCAGATTCGAACAGTAATCGAGCTTGTCCAAGACGACAATCTTGTAATCCGGGTAGTTCCGGATAAGCCGGTTGGCGACATGGGAGGCGATGAACCCAGCAGCTCCAGTGATTAGAATGTTCTTGGGAGTGTACGACGCCATGAGAAAACGGCAGTCCTGTTTTCAAAAACAGTATTGAGTATAGATTCTATAGAATACGGAATCAAACTCTAGATACAAGTTTGCATGCAACACGCAAAGAGAGATGATTCCTAAACAGAATGCAACTAATGGTGGTGCAATTTCGCAAGTTTCAATGCAATGATGACCTCGTCGATATGAGAGTTTTCAGAACACTGATCCAAACGAGATCATCACAGCATGGATCGATGCCAATTCCACGAATTCCGGACACTACTACTAAAATTATAATATTCGGGGGACGTTGCTACAAGATCGAGATCCGTAGTCAACATCGTCAGATCTTACTCGCAATATAATCAAACAAGTAAACATCAGAAAAAAATGCAGTGTCCAAAACCAGAATCAATGCTTATACCGCAGATCCAGATCAGAGAAGACAACACCATAGCAGATTAAAACGCAAAACTTCGATTCTGAAACAGATCAATCGCCGACGGAAAATAAAACTCCCGGATCAACGAAACCGCGATCGAAGATCAGTTCCGAAACAGAATGACGTAACATGATCGTGCAGAAAACACGAAGATTATTCGAATAGAAGCAATTCACAAAATTCGAAGCTTACCTCACAAAATTCACACCACGATCAGCAAAATCCAGATCACGACTGACGAGGACGAGGCAAGAGAGTGCGAGAGAAACGGAAGAAGAAATGGAGAACCGTGATGAGACCCAGAAGCGAAGGAAACGGAGGAGAATAAATACACAGGGTCTCGACGGCGAAGAAGAAGACCCGAGCACGAGGGGGAAGAAATCGCGAAATTTCATAGTTTTGATTGACGGAACTACCCTTTATCTCGTGACGTAATTACGGATCCTGCCATTGCGACGGGTAGGTACACACCTCCAAGCGCGTGAAACGATTAGAAAAATTAAGAATTAAATATGTGAATATGTACGGCTGGAAATTTCACATGAAATGAAATGATTACATCAAATGATAAATCAAAGAGATATTAAAATTAAGAATCGAATATGTGAATGTGTATGACTCGAAACAATAATTATTTGCACATAAGATGAACTGATAAATCAAATAGGAAATAAATATGAAAAAAAGGTGGACCGACCTTCGGAGTTCTACTCTCGAGTTGCGGTGGTAGGTAGCCGTGTTTCTCGTGGCCCAACTTGATTGAGAAGAGAGGGTATTTTGGTAATTAATAGTATCAAACACTGGCAAAGTTGTAAATCTCTCGATCGAGAAAAAAAAAGAGGGGGTAGTTGTATTGTATATATGCGTGTAATCATTTATTGTTGTTAGCTCATGCTTAAGATCACCGACACATATCGCATTTTTTGTTTCCTTCAATATAAAAAAAAACTAACACCTTTTTTATATATAAAAATCGTGTAAATTAGGTTAAGTATCCATATTTATATAGAATCAAATTAATTAAATTTCAAAATCTAGAAAATTAATTAAAAAATAAAAAACAACCAAACAGTGAGATAAACATATATGTTTTTTAAAACATTTAATTCCAAAAATAACAAATTGAAATCTGAAATGTAAATTTCTGGGACAAACAGACTATTTTAAGATGATACAGTTATCTTTATTTGTTAGTTCTATCAACAAAATCTTGATTTGTGTTAATATTATTTTTTTTTTTGAAGAATTAGGGGGACAATTTGACCGAATAATAATGTGAGGGGCCAAATTGGTTATATAGTAATTATTATGGATACCTTTTGGAATTTCCGTAGAATTTAAGTGCACGTGAGTGAGCACGTGTAAGCTGTCACTTAGTTCGTCGGGGCTCGGTCCGATAGTTTACTGACCGATTAATCTTCGACCGATCAGAGAATCGCCGACGAAAATGGCATCGGCAGTTTCTTCCATCCTCTCTAATGGTACGACGCCATTGAAACAGCTTCAAAACCCTAAACCCACTTCGCAAAGACTCTGTCTTGTCTCCTATCGCAGACCCTTTTCGTATTCTTCTTCGTCTCTCCTCTCATCTCGCGAACTCTCTCTCGAATCCCGAACCAAGCCCTGCAAAGTCTCTGCTCCGATCGCGTACCGCCGTCGGTATTTTCTTCTTCATCGTTGCAGCATTTCTTCGGAAGAGTTTCCTACGGAGAGAAAGAAGAGCTTCGGCGAGTGGGTTGAGTGGCTCGGAGAGGTGGTTTCGACGGCGTTTCCGATATGGGTATCAGTCGGATGCTTGTTGGGGCTGTTGAAGCCAAGTGCTTTCAGCTGGGTCACGCCCAGATGGACCATCATTGGGCTCACGATCACGATGCTCGGAATGGGCATGACTTTGACGCTTGACGATCTTCGTGGTGCCTTGTCCATGCCCAAGGAGTTGCTCTCCGGCTTCGTCTTGCAGTACTCGGTCGGTTTTTTCTGTCCTATTCTTATTCATGGTCTATGATTACTGTTCGTTGACCGAATTCTAGATGGAAAGGCTGTTCCTTTACTGTGAATATAATGAGTAGATTGTGTTCTGTTACTGTGAATTCGAATATAAGTTGTTCACAAATCATAGATTGTGAAAGATGGGGTCTTGATGCTAGGTTGGTTAAGTCTCGAGGTTTCTCTATATATGCAAAGCAGAGTTCTTTAACTTGATCTTGTTTTGCAGTAGATATAAGCTTTTATTGTACTCGATGTCTCTTTTGTTGGTAGTGATCTCCAAGGATTCATATCCTGATGGATAAAGAAACTATTAAGAATGTTACTTTCCTCGTGTTTCAGCTACTATGTGCTCTACATTGGGTTGATTCATAAGGTTTTTATATGTGAATCTGATAATGTATTCGTTCTGATTAGTATCATAAACCTATGGAGTAGTTTTCGTGTGATTGGGTTCTTCATTTGAGATTATCCTAGCCATGGACCTTGCATTAGTTTCCTTTCTTGTTTCATGGTTTTCTGTGGTGTGATGCAACTTCCCTTGCGAATTTGTAACTTGTTTGGGTTTGAACCTAGTATAATAGAGAATGAATGAGTCCATAACTGCAGTCGAATCCTGTTTCAGATCATGCCCATGTCAGGATTTCTGGTGAGTAAGCTCTTGAATTTGCCGTCACATTATGCAGCAGGTCTAATATTGGTCGGTTGCTGTCCAGGAGGTAATTACATTTCTACCCGGTGAATTCATAGTATTCATTAATGTTCGGTTCTGATGCTAGTCGCTTGTTCTCTGAAGGCACTGCAAGCAATATCGTCACCTACATTGCACGGTGTGTAATCTAACACAGAAAATCAATTTCTGATCCCTTGTGATTCTTACCGCATGGCTGGATGATCTGACTTTTCATTTTTGCAGCGGAAATGTAGCACTGTCAGTGATGATGACGGCAGCTAGCACCCTTTCAGCTGTGGTTAGTGCCTCGGGCTTTATAATTCTGGTCCCGAGTATATTATATGTTTTGACATTTGAGTACATTTTCCGCTATGATATGTTCTGTTATGTAGATCATGACGCCATTTCTGACAGCCAAACTTGCCGGACAATATGTCACAGTAGATGCTCTTGGACTACTGATGTCAACACTACAGGTTAACCTTTTTCGATTTCTTGGAGTTCATGTCGATGCTTATGTGAATTTCGGTGTTTGAAACTGTCTTCTTGGCAATAGATTCACGTTTGTATCGGCGCTTGCTGGTATGCCCTCAGGTCGTTCTTCTCCCTGTATTGGGCGGTGCATTTCTTAACCAATACTTCCAAAGGCTCGTAAAATTTGTGTCTCCTCTGATGCCACCCATCGCTGTGGGAACGGTTGCGATTCTCTGTGGATATGCAATTGGTCAGAACGCATCTGCCATACTCATGTCCGGGAAACAAGTGGTCTTGGCCTCAACTCTACTCCACATGTTTGGATTTTTCTTCGGATATCTGTTCTCAAGGATGTTAGGAATCGATGTGGCTTCATCGAGAACTATCTCTATCGAGGTTGGAATGCAGGTAAGTAATGAAAGAAACAACGTCTTCCATCGGGGAGGAGAGGGATGTGTTGAATGAACTATTTTCCTATAATCTATCAACCGATGACCCTTAAAGCCCAGTTTTTTCTTGCAGAAAGTCCTTATTAGCACCAATGTAAAGCTTGAAACCTCCTGTTTGTTTTTGGCAGAACTCGGTTCTTGGAGTTGTTCTTGCGACTCAGCATTTCGGGGATCCACTCACAGCGGTGCCGTGCGCTGTTTCGAGCGTCTGCCACTCCATCTTGGGCAGCGTCTTGGCCGGCATTTGGAGACGTGATTCCCCAGAAAAAGCAGCTCCATGATTGAAGAAGAAGATGATGATGAATAAGAATGGAAGTTGCAGCGAGACGAGGAATCAAAATTTGACACGTTTTAAGGACGAATGTACTCTAAGCTAAGGGTTGTTGTCTTGAAGAGCCATGGGAATCATTCACTCATATATTGAGTTAATCTCATATTATATATACACATATTTACGATATATGATATATATGTGTCGGAGGTGTTATATATAGTGATGTGGTCCTATAGAGTAGAGAGAGAAGAAACATAACATGGTCTCGCCAAAAGTTCCGTACCAACGCATCTTTGTCTGCTCGTGAAGCAAGTATCCAAATCCAAAATAGAAGGATCATTATTGATTCATTATGTGGCCAGTCGCCGGCAGGTTCCCTCCTCCAAGTTTGCTTTATCTTGCCACCATATATAAAAAGGTTTAAATATATTAATAATTTAGAAAAATAAATTATAAAAATGGATGAAATATGTAGTATTAGAAAGAAAAAAAACGCTTCCTTCACGACTGGTGACGCCAACTCATATTAAGGACGCATCAGCTTTTTCACCTCTCGTGGCTTATACATGTTATCCTCTTGATTTGCGTCCGAGGAGGAACGGATAATATCCTATCCATGGAGGGAAAAGGGGCGAGACAGTGGAGCTCTCTCACTGTTCCTTCTGTTCAAGAACTGGTTAAGGATAACAACATCACCACTGTTCCTCCGAGGTATGTTCGGTCTGATAAGGATGGAGTCTTGGCCGGTGACGAGTTTGGTAACGGCTTACCAGTCATCGATTTGGACCGCCTGTGTTCTGCCACCACCATGGATGCAGAGCTGGAGAAGCTCGATTCCGCTTGCAGACAATGGGGCTTTTTCCAGGCATCATCTCTCTCCCTCTCTCTGTTCGTATGACAATTTGTTCTTATCCGTTGTGTTCTTCCACTGAAGCTCGTGAACCATGGAGTGGACACTTGTCTCTTGGAAAAAGCAAAGGAAGGTGTTCGAGATCTTTTCAACCTTCCCATGGAAGAGAAGAAGAAGTTATGGCAGCGAAGTGGCGATCTCGAAGGATTCGGACAAGCTTTCGTTCTGTCAGAGGATCAGAATCTTGATTGGGCCGACATGTTCTTCCTCACTTCCCAGCCTGTTCCATTACGCAGACCTCACTTGTTCCCCAAGCTACCTCTTCCCTTCAGGTTTTAACCTCAATTACCTTGTGTAAAGCCAGTCTCACTCCATTGACATGGTCTCTTGAACTCTTTCCTCCTACTTTTTCATCAGGGATGCATTAGATGCCTTTTCAACTCAAGTGATGAGCAAAGCCAGGATTCTGATATCGAAAATGGCGAGAGCCCTTGAGGTCAAACCCGAAGAAATGGAAGGTTTGTTCGACGACGGGCTATGGCAAACGATGAGACTGAACTACTACCCGCCCTGTCCAGAGCCCGACAAGGTCGTCGGCCTAACCCCTCATTCAGACGCGGTTGGCCTCACCATCCTCTTACACGTGAACGAAGTGGAAGGTCTGCAGATCAAGAAAGACGGAGGGTGGGTTCCTGTCAAGCCTTTGCCAGATGCTTTCGTTGTCAATGTGGGCGACATCATAGAGGTAAAAAGCTCGGCTCTTTCTGAGATATATGCAGAGTGTAAACCTAGAATAGAAGATAGTTTTTTTGCCGATCCTAAATAAACTTGGGATTATGGCGATATTGATGTTAATGCCAACTAAACTTGGTATTAAGGCGATGCTGATGTATAGATCGTAAACAATGGTGAATATCAGTCGGTGGAGCATAGAGCGATGGTGAAAGCAGAGAAAGAGAGGCTATCAGTCGGAGTGTTCCATAGTCCGGGGTTCGATAAAGAGATCGGTCCGGCCAAGAGCCTTGTCCGGAGACAACACAAGGCGTTGTTCAGAAGTATATCCACTGAAGACTACTTCAATGGCTTTTTCTCCAAGAAACTCGAGGAGAAATCTCAGATTCAACTCATGAGAATCTAAGATACAGAGAGGGGCTTTACAATATATATATATATATATATATATGTGTGTGTGTGAATTTGGATGCAGATGGCCTAAGAATCTGATCATTAAATCATATGAATGAGCTCATCATGCCCGTGTGTCACCCATTTGATGCATTCATTGGTGATTATAGTTTGCGATTCCAATGTATTAATTGGAAAGTATCATATGTATGATTGATGGTCCTGTTTAATTAAGAAAGGGTATATTCGTCTTTTTTTTCGTTTAATTATGATAACATAAACCGATGAAACGTTCGGTTTGATCGCGAGATTACGAACAACTCAATTGTCATTAGCAATCATTGTAAGGGCAATAATTACGACGGTTGCAAGAGAAAATCAGAAAAACCATAAGGTCAATGGGTATTCAACACGTGGCAAGATCTTAACCGCGTGATTGGATAAGCTCTCGTTTCTCGTGTTCTATGTGGTTTTGTTTCGTCCATCGAAAGAAAATTAGCCCGAAAAACCCAGAAAAAAAACTACCCACTTGATAATCTTTTGCGTTTTTAGGGAAATTTCGAATTTTTCTATACACCCAATATTCGAATTTTTCTATCCAAGAAAAAAAAGCTTGCTTTATTGCTTCCTCATGTAAAACCCAGTGTGTTTTTTGGATTCTAGTGAGAGAGCTTCACAATCCTTTCGTTTTTTTGGGTTCCCAAGCTCTCAGCGTACTGGGTTTCGGGTTTTGTCTGAGAATGGTGCTTACATGCCGGAATATAGAATTGGGTACGAGTGTGCTTGATCTGATATCATGTGGGTGTTCTTATACTTCTCGGACCGGTCATCGGTTCTTGTCCGGGAATTTCTCGAAGACGGTGTATAGGTGTCGTAGTAGCAGAAGCTATGGTGGTGCAAATTTGGTTCTTTTTAAGCGGGACATGAAGACTTGCAGAGTGATTCCGACAAAATCTCCAGAGACTGCTCTCGCCAACGGTATGATTCTCAGATTCCGCGAGTAGTTATTCCCCTTCTCTCGTTCCAGCCTGGATTGGATTGGATTCTCTGATTAGAGATTTGATAGTCATGCCATAATAGCTTGAGATGTAAAGTGGTAGACTTGTTTTGAGTATTGGATGGATATTGCTTGTGGCTGAATTCAGGACATGAGTTGACCAATTCGGAGGAGTTGGAACTTCGAATGTAGTTCAAGTTTGGACAGTTTATGTTGTCTTTGTAGAGTTATCAATCTCTGGCTTTGGTTAGATTAGAATCTCTCTGTATGTTGATAATCTGTGGTTAGTAACTTCAAACAAGTTCTTGGAACTCCGAGTTCTGAAACGTGTGATTGTGAAACTAATGACTGTAGGTATTGGAGAAGGTAAGACGGTGACGTTGGATTTGAGGAAAGAGCCAAGACTGCCGATTTCTTTGTCAGATCTGTTTGAGGTAGTAGCTGATGATCTTCAGACATTGAACAACAATCTTCTCTCGGTTAGTATCTTTGACGTTCTTGCATATATTCTCAAACAGAGGTTTCAGATTTCATGGCTGTCGGGTCGGAAGACTTGATAAGAGGAAGAAATGGTCGGAGAGTATGCATCTAAAGTAAACGTTCTTTACAGATTGTCGGTGCAGAAAATCCTGTCTTGATATCTGCTGCTGATCAGATTTTCGGGGCCGGTGGTAAGAGGATGAGACCGGGTCTGGTATTCCTCGTATCCCGGGCCACAGCTGAATCTGTAGGCCTGAAGTAATATCTCAAAGTTGCCATTTTTTCTTTTCTCTGATCCAAGTGTGTGTGTTTTTAGAACAAGACATTAACTTTCGGTTTTCTCGGTAAAGGGAACTTACAACTGAGCATCGGCGTTTGGCTGAGATCATCGAGATGATTCACACTGCAAGTTTGATACATGATGATGTCTTAGACGAAAGTGATTTGCGAAGAGGTGAGTTTCTTGCCATCATCATTTCTCAATTTCTTTATCGGAAATGTAAAGATAGTTGATCGATAGGCTCGGTAATCTTGATACGTTTTTATGTATATTACAAGGTAAAGAAACTGTTCACCAGCTTTACGGGACGAGGGTAGCTGTTTTGGCTGGAGATTTCATGTTTGCTCAAGCATCATGGTACCTTGCAAATCTCGAGAACCTCGATGTTATTAAACTCATCAGTCAGGTACTTTTCGTTTGCTCTTTTCTTTTATGGACCGACACTCTCGGATAAAGGACTCAGTACCGAAACTGTAGTTTTTTGAACTTGTATAATCTATCAGGTGATTAAAGATTTCGCAAGCGGCGAGATAAAGCAGGCTTCGAGTTTGTTTGATTGTGACGTCGAGCTGGATGACTACTTGCTCAAGAGTTATTACAAGACAGCCTCGTTAGTCGCTGCCAGCACGAAAGGAGCCGCCGTTTTCAGCGGAGTTGACAGTGATGTCACCGAGCAGATGTATCAGTTCGGGAAGAATCTCGGCCTCTCTTTCCAAATAGTCGACGACATTTTGGACTTCACCCAATCCTCAGAGCAGCTTGGGAAGCCCGCAGCTAATGACTTGGCCAAGGGAAACTTAACTGCACCCGTGATATTCGCTCTCGAGAACGAGCCGAGGTTGAGAGAGATCATCGAGTCCGAGTTTTGCGAGCCCGGATCTCTCGAAGAAGCGATTGAACTGGTGAGAAATTGCGGTGGGATCAAACGGGCACGGGAATTAGCCGAGGAAAAAGCGGATCTCGCAGTAAAGAATCTGCAGTGCCTCCCTCGGAGTGCCTTCAGGTCGGCTCTGGAGGATATGGTGATGTATAATCTCGAAAGGATCGATTAAAAGAAGGAAAGAACAAGAAAGAGGCTTGAAGGGTATAAACCCTAAAACAGTATAGCACAGAAAGGGCATTGTGCCTATTGTCTTTGCAGCAATTTGTTAACACTTTTTACTTGTACAACAACAGAAAGATTCCTTTGTTCTTGTAAAATGATGCCTCAGAGGCAACTGTATCTGTCACAGTTTTGTTTTGGTTCCCTGATTAAATCCCGAAAAACATGGATTTGTTGCTCGGATTCGTACTCCAAACCCTGTTTCGGGGACCGGTAAGCGACAAAGAGTCAGTATCTATGGCGTGACAAGAATGCGAAACAAGGTGAAAAACTTCTTATTTGTAGGTATGGATCTCCATGTTTCACCTTGGTAAGAGCTTAGGAGCTATATATATATATATGTACACATACACACAAGTCAGGTGCTTATATATATCGTTCTTCTTCTTAGATCTTGCGGATGATGATATGAGCTCCATGTTGCGGAAACGTTGTCGCAGCTGGGAGAGGAGCGTGAGTATATGAAGGAGAGAGCTCAAGCCTGAACCTTTGAAGAACCTCGGCCACGAATAGCTTCGCTTCCAGCATCGAGAAGTTCTGTCCGATACATGTTCGAGGTCCCGAACTGAACGGTAAGAAGGAAAGTCTTCCCTTTGTTGCACTTGCCACTCCGTTGGCAAACCTCTCGGGCTTGAATTCTTTCACGTCGTTACCCCAGAGATCGGGATCGTGATGAACCAGAAGCATCGGTATCGTGACCACGACTCCTGCAGGCAGGCTGAACCTCTCCAGCTTCAGTTCTTGTTCGGTTATCCGACATGTGAAGTAAGCTGGTGAGTACAGTCTCAGAACTTCGTGGAGGATCATCGATATCTGATGAAGCCAAATCAGTTAGCGTTCTAACAAAAAAAGAAGAAGCAGAAAACACTCTCTCTCTCGTGAGTTCGGGATTTCGTTACGAACTTACGGTTTTCAGGTGGCTTAGCCCTTCGAAATCCGGCTCGTTCTTACCGAACACTTGAAAGATGTATCAGTTCGGGAAGAATCTCGGCCTCTCTTTCCAAATAGTCGACGACATTTTGGACTTCACCCAATCCTCAGAGCAGCTTGGGAAGCCCGCAGCTAATGACTTGGCCAAGGGAAACTTAACTGCACCCGTGATATTCGCTCTCGAGAACGAGCCGAGGTTGAGAGAGATCATCGAGTCCGAGTTTTGCGAGCCCGGATCTCTCGAAGAAGCGATTGAACTGGTGAGAAATTGCGGTGGGATCAAACGGGCACGGGAATTAGCCGAGGAAAAAGCGGATCTCGCAGTAAAGAATCTGCAGTGCCTCCCTCGGAGTGCCTTCAGGTCGGCTCTGGAGGATATGGTGATGTATAATCTCGAAAGGATCGATTAAAAGAAGGAAAGAACAAGAAAGAGGCTTGAAGGGTATAAACCCTAAAACAGTATAGCACAGAAAGGGCATTGTGCCTATTGTCTTTGCAGCAATTTGTTAACACTTTTTACTTGTACAACAACAGAAAGATTCCTTTGTTCTTGTAAAATGATGCCTCAGAGGCAACTGTATCTGTCACAGTTTTGTTTTGGTTCCCTGATTAAATCCCGAAAAACATGGATTTGTTGCTCGGATTCGTACTCCAAACCCTGTTTCGGGGACCGGTAAGCGACAAAGAGTCAGTATCTATGGCGTGACAAGAATGCGAAACAAGGTGAAAAACTTCTTATTTGTAGGTATGGATCTCCATGTTTCACCTTGGTAAGAGCTTAGGAGCTATATATATATATATGTACACATACACACAAGTCAGGTGCTTATATATATCGTTCTTCTTCTTAGATCTTGCGGATGATGATATGAGCTCCATGTTGCGGAAACGTTGTCGCAGCTGGGAGAGGAGCGTGAGTATATGAAGGAGAGAGCTCAAGCCTGAACCTTTGAAGAACCTCGGCCACGAATAGCTTCGCTTCCAGCATCGAGAAGTTCTGTCCGATACATGTTCGAGGTCCCGAACTGAACGGTAAGAAGGAAAGTCTTCCCTTTGTTGCACTTGCCACTCCGTTGGCAAACCTCTCGGGCTTGAATTCTTTCACGTCGTTACCCCAGAGATCGGGATCGTGATGAACCAGAAGCATCGGTATCGTGACCACGACTCCTGCAGGCAGGCTGAACCTCTCCAGCTTCAGTTCTTGTTCGGTTATCCGACATGTGAAGTAAGCTGGTGAGTACAGTCTCAGAACTTCGTGGAGGATCATCGATATCTGATGAAGCCAAATCAGTTAGCGTTCTAACAAAAAAAGAAGAAGCAGAAAACACTCTCTCTCTCGTGAGTTCGGGATTTCGTTACGAACTTACGGTTTTCAGGTGGCTTAGCCCTTCGAAATCCGGCTCGTTCTTACCGAACACTTGAAAGACCTCTGCTCTCGCTTTTTCCTGCCAGTCTGGATATTGGCTTAGGGAAACCAGTGACCAGACAAGCAAGGAAGCTGTCACGTTCTGGCCAGCGAGATAGAAGGCTTTACAGTCATCGATTAGATCATCGATGGTCAGTCCAGATTCGGGTCCTTGCTCTTTGATCAACTTGGAATTCGAAGTCAACATCGAGCACAAAAGGTCGCCGTTCTTAACGGTTCCTCCTCTGTTTATCTCCATCTCTTTCGCCTCGATCATAGCTTTGAACATTGCCCTCATTTCCCTTTCGGTCCCTCTCAGTCTCTTGTTGAACTTTGTCGGCAAAAACCTGCAGTAAAATGAAATGAATGTTCCAAATTACCACTCTTTCTGCTTCTCTGTCATTAGAGACAGAGCATGTGCTGAGAAACAGAGTAGAGAAAATAACAGAAGATTTTCTCGTTCTGGTTTCCCTCTGTTCTGCATTTTCTCAGCTTTTCTTGGCATCCAAACACTTTCCCGGATCACGTCTAAGATCTGTGAGAGTTTTATGATCGAAAACTCGGAAACCCGGAAGTAAAAAAATCATCTAAAAGTCTTTAAAGAGTGACAAGAACTGCATCTGGTAAACATTTCGATCATTTACCTGGATCCAGGAATGTAGACGGATCGAATGGCTTGAAGGCCAAGATCGATCTGTTCTTGCTGGGTTTCGAAGATCTTGATTCCATCTTTGTAGCGATCGCCGAAAGCAGCTCGAGAAAGCATGCGTTTGGACAAGCCCAGACAGTACGGCCATGAATCAAGCTCCACTGAATCTCTTGTCTCTGGTAATAATGTCTCCCATTCTTCTAACATCTCCTTGCAACTCGTGTTGAAAGCTGGTAGTATGTTCTGTCCAATTTTTTTGTTTTTGTTTTTTTTTTCATGCAGATTATTCAGATTATATGATCCATCTTTCGTCAAAGATTAGAGAGTATTAATTAGTACTATGTCTCCTCGGTGTTTCCTCGGCCATCTGATGTTTGAGTTGCCTAAAACAGGGTTTAGGAGTTGACTTTGGGGTATTTGGTTCTATTATTTTATAGTTCGATTGATTTTATATTTATTTTGTATCTAATTAATTTTGTTTTAAAAACTTTTTTTTTTGTTTTTAGATCATAATATTCGATTCGATATATTTCAACTCAAGTTTATGAAATAGATAAATAGGGATATTTTTCAGTAAATCAAGTTTTGGACATAAATGTACCATACGAATATGGAAAAACCATTTTCCTTTTAATATTATAAAAATCATACACACAACACACATATATATATGTATATTGAATTCAATATTTTTATTCATAAAAACCCCATTTAATAAATTAATGCATTTATTATTCGTATTAAATTTTGTAGGACTTTTTTGACGGTCGTCTAACAAACCCCAACAAAGAGGCAGTGAAAGCGTTACACTATAATTGTTTGTAAGTCCAAAAAGTACATAAAAGGATCATTGAATTGCGGCTTTACTATTAATAATATATAGAGTCAGAAATGTGCGTAATCTTCTTAATATACAAAATGTATATATATATATATATATATGTATGTATGTATGTATAGTAGGAAAATACCTTCAAGTTGTCGATACGAAAGGAAGGGTTGAGAATGGTGCGGTGCTTGGACCATTTAAGGCCCTGGTGATCGAGCAGACCGCTTATGAAGACGTGGTTGTGGGATCCGATCTTCGGCTTGGGAAACACTTCGTGTCGGGACAGAATCTCTCGCAGTGTCTCCGGCTCCATCACTATCACGTTCGGATACGGTCCATGCCACGTGAAGCACTTCTTCCCTTACCATATACAACCCACATCATTCAATTCAATCAACGACTATACATACACCTATACATACGTATATTTGTTGAAAAGATTGTGTTTTTGTGATAAGGGTACCGTATTTTTTGACGGTGTGGTGGGCGAAAGGCATCATCCTTGGAAGAATATCGGAGCCGAGAGGGAGAGGAGAGGAGTGAGCAAGTCTTTCCATGGAGTTGCTATCCTTCATATCTCCCATCAGAATTCTGTAAGGGTTTCCGCAGAACCCTTGTTCCCTCAAGTATTTCTCCAGCTTCTTCGGCCTGAACCACACCCAATTCATCGCTCTCCACATCAAATACGCTACCAAACTCCATATCCCCACCATTAGCCATCCTCCCATTGTCACCTTCTTCATCTCTCTCTCTCTCTCTCTCTCTCTCTCTGAATTCTTCCAAGGAAGGAAGAATGAAACGAGGGTGTGACAGCTTATATATATATATGCGTGTATGTATATATATATGTCATACGTATTGTATATGTATGTATGTATGTATGTATGTATGTATGTGGTGTATATGTGTGAGAGATTGGGTGTGGATGAATGGAGAGGTGGATGAAAGTTGGGAATAATAAAATGATGGAAATGGCTGTATGTGGACTGGCACATTAAGAATTTATTATAACACTTAAGTTCATTTGTGTTATTTCAAAAAATAAATAAATTTTAATAATAATAATAATAAATATTGTATTCCTTTCCTTACGCTACCTGCATGTGGCTTTATTGCATGAGGTTGATATGTAGAATTCCCCTTCCTCTATTTGACTTCATTTCTTTTTAACTTTTATAATACCCTATTTTTTTTCCCATTTTCAATGGGGTTTTTATTTCTTTTTTTGAATTTTTTTGGTTAGGTAACATATATATATTTATAGATAGAGAGATTAAAGTTTCTTCAATCTTTTTTTTACTTTTTTTTTTTGTAATTAGTAAGATTCTCTTCATAATTACCGTTTTGTAGTATGTTTTTGCCGTCTGTTTTCTTCTTTTATCCTGTTATATTAATCCTTTTGGTCGCATAAATTGTGCACTCACTATCAATTGAATTTTAATTTTTTGGATATTTCCAATGAGAAAAAGTAAAGAAAAGAAAATGGCATAGCTACCATCTACGGTCATTCTTTATTTTCAACCAATATATATTGAATCATAAATAACCAATATAATATCAAAACATTTTCAAATATACAAATCAATATAGTATTAGTACTCATAGATTATATTAGTTCATATCTTTACTTTTATTAAATGAAACCAACACAAAAATAAACGCTATTAAAAGAACCATAATTTGGACATTTAATGGTATATATATTGTTGATTTGTTTTATTTAATTTGGGGGGCCAATAAATATGGACCGCCTAGATGTCGTTGCTCACTGGAAACGTGAATAACGATGTCAACTCTGTTGCAGAACAAAAAAAAAATTGCATGTGACAATGCGATATAATGTTCCAACCATATCTTATAATTAAATTCAATTTGTGTTTAATAATCACGGTTGCATGCCATGCATGATCATGCGTTCATTTTGCTTATTATTGTTTATTAATTCCACGTAGACAGACAAGAATTGTTCATTAATCCCCATGACATTATCAGCAGATTATTAGTAATTATATGGATAAGCTTTGATTAGTCAGAATTATATTAGTAGCGACGAAAAAAATTTGCTGCAAAATTAATTCACATTTTTTAGATACAATATAGAAGGAAACAATATAAAAGAACTAGCTTACCCATTCGATTTGGATATAGAATTAATATAATTATCTTTTAATTGAATTTAATTTTCACGGATATATATACCTAAGTTAATATAACTTGAATTCCCAATGAAAATTAAAAAAAAATGAACAATGAAAATACTTTTTTATGAAGATTGAATTCGAATCCAAAACTTAAAAATTGAAGGGTAATAAAACATCAATTATTGAAAATCGTAGAAACATATATTGATTTGGATATGATTTTTCGAAAAATGATTATTAGCAGATGAATGAAAGTAGCGTAATATACATTTGTAATGTAATGAAATCACGGCATCGTTCAGATAATCGCCGTGAGAAAAAAAAATCAATTTTATGATAGAAAATAAAATAAACATTATCAAATTATCCCTAACGTCTTATAAATAAATATCAGCATATGGTTTTTATATTCGTGGAGGTTACATCTATTCGTGAAGAGTTGTTATACACCTTTTCACTTCACAAATAGCCACTTAAAAATTTTAATATGCAAAAGGGTCCGAGGCGACACTTAAACTAATATCTTTTAATTAACGTTAATGATAAGGACTCTAGCTTAAACTAATATATTTTTATTCTAAAACGCGACGCAAACGCAAAACGCAAACGCTTACGATTCATCTGAACCGTCGAAGTCGTAGATCCATATTTGACTCCATTTTCTTGTCCATGCATGGGAGTACGTTTTGTTTTTTTAATAACTTATGGGAACGGTTGTCTCTTTCCAAGGCTTTTGTCCCTCCTTCAGACACCGTTCCTCATCCTCAGGAGCTCTTCTGTCCTGTCATGTATGTGTTTATGAACCATTCCAAATTGATCATCTTCACGTGTATATATATATATATATATATCCATATATTGATAATCCGAAAGTTCACCGAACTTTTTGACCGACTATATCTCGGAGAAGATCGGAAAAACCCATATGAATGTTCCTTCCCATATGAAGATTCGAACCCAGGTTGGGACGAAGCTTTGCTCTCTTCCTTATCGGTTGAGCCACCCAATCTTGAATCACACATATATATAAATATATATATATATATACCTTGAGGCAGATTTCAAGCATGACCAAACGTGACCAAACGTGCAATACACAGATGCATAGATATGATGAATCTCCATTGTTCACCTTGTAAGAGCTAAATAGTTTTATATATATATATATATGTACACAAACACGCAAATGAAACCCTAGACAGGATTGAAGCTGCACAATGCTTCACCTTCCGGGCACTTATTATTATACCGTTCTTCTTCTACTTCTTAGATCTTGTGGATGATGATATGAGCTCCATGTTGCGGAAACGTAGCTACGTCGGGGAAGGGAGCGTGAATATATGAAGGAGAGAGCTCAAGCCTGAACCTTTGGAGAACCTCGGACAGGAAGAGCTTTGCTTCCAACATCGAGAAGTTCTGTCCGATACATGTTCGAGGTCCCGAACTATACGGTAAGAAGCAAAGTCTTCCGTTTGTTGCGCTAGCCACTCCGTTGGCAAACCTCTCGGGCTTGAATTCTTTCACGTCGTTACCCCAAAGATCGGGATCGTGATGAACCAGAAGCATCGGTATCGTGAGCATGACTCCTGCAGGTAGGCTGAATCTCTCCAGCTTCAGTTCTTGTTCGGTTATCCGCCATATGTAGTTGGCCGGTGAGTACAGTCTCAGAACTTCATGGAGGATCATCGTTATCTGATGACTCCAAATCAGTTAGTATTACGGAGAATCAATCATAGGAAGCAAATCCCGAGATTGTAACCTTTACATAACAGTTTCCTAAATTGTAGCCAAGCTAGCGTGTATATATCATTGGAGACAAGTGTAAATCTAATGCAATATTCTCAAACGTTAAATGGTATCAGATCCTGTAATTCGGAATTCTCGTGATTCGTGAATTCGGAATTTCGTTACGAACTTACGATTTTAAGGTGGCTTAGCCCTTCGAAATCCGGCTCGTTCTTACCGAACACTTGGAAGACCTCGGCTCTCGCCTTTTCTTGCCAGTCCGGATATTGGCTTAGAGAAACCAGTGACCAGACAAGCAAGGAGACTGCAACATTCTGGCCGGCTAAATAGAAAGATTTACAATCATCGATTACATCATCAATGGTCAGTCCAGATTCAGGTCCTTGCTCTTCAATCAACTTGGAATTCGAAGCCAAAATCGAGCACAAAAGGTCGCTGTTCTTCGCGGATTCTCCTCGGTCTATGTCGTTCCGTTTCGCCTCGATCATAGCTTTGAACATTGCCTTCATCTCCCTTTCGGTTCCTCTCATCCTCTTGTTGAACTTTGTCGGCAAGAATCTGCAGGAAATGAAATGAATGTTCCAATTTAGTGACTGTTTGGTTTTCTTCTGTTCTACATTTTCTCAGCTTTTCTTGGTATCCAAACACTTTTCCAGATCACGTCTAAGATCTAAGTAAAGAATCGTCTAAAAGTCTTTAAAGAGCAACATGAACTGCATCTGATAACCATTTCGATCATTTACCTGGATCCAGGAACGTAGACTGATCGTAGAGCTCGAAGGCCAAGATCGACCTGTTCTTGCTGGGTTTCGAAGATCTTGATTCCATCTTTGTAGCGATCCCCAAAAGCAGCTCGAGAAAGTATGTGTTTGGACAAGCCCAGACAGTACGGCCATGAATCGATCTCCACTGAATCTCTTGTCTCTGGTAATAATGTCTCCCATTCTTCCAACACCTCCTTGCAACTCGTGTTGAAAGCTGGTAGTATGTCCTGTCCAATATATATATATTTTTTTATTTCACGCAACTTATTCAAATTAATATGATCTATATATGTTTTTGGTTTTTTTTGTTTCTTTCCTTTTTTATTAAGTTGGTTTTTACAAAAATCATATTATTCTATTTTTGGATAATATAGTTATGTATTTGGTTTGATTTGAAATTAATAACCCAAGCAAAATGTCCGGATACAACCTCCAAAACAAATCTCAAGATTCTTTAATTCAATCTTATGAAATAGGTTCCGTTCTATTATTAAACAACCATATGATAAACAGGGATGTTTGTGGAGTAAATCAAATTTTCTAAACTCAATTTATCATATATATATATATATATATATATATGTATGTATATTAATTTAACGTTTTCTTATTATAAAACCATTTAATAAATCAATAAATTGATTGTTCATATTAAGTTTTGCATGACTATTTAGATGTCCATGATCGATCAATTTAACCCCAACAAAAAGGTGGTGAAAGCGTTACACTAATTGCTTAAATGGAAGCCCAAAGGTCATTGATCCGTGGCTTTATTGTTATTATAGAAAGTCTTTGTAATATATAAACATATATATATATATATATATATATAGAGAGAGAGAGAGAGGGGGGGATACCTTCAAGAAGTCGATGCGAAAGGAAGGATTGAGTATGCTACGACGGTGGGACCATTCACGGCCTTCGTGATCGAGGAGACCACTAATGAAGACATGCTTGTGGCTTCCGATCTTAGCCTTCGGAAACTCTTCGTGTCGGGACAGTATCTCTCGTATTGTCTCTGGCTCCATCACTATCACATTCGGATACGGTCCATTCCATGTGAAGCACTTCTTCCCTACGTATATGCATCCATGGATGAATATATACACACAAAATATGGAATATATATACGTACAGTTTCCTAACTAAAGGTAAAAGGGTTGCGTATTTTTAAGAACGTACCGTATTTTTTGACGGTGTGGTGGGGGAAAGGCATCATTCTTGGAAGAATATCGGAGCCGAGGGGGAGAGGGGAGGAGTGAGCATGTCTTTCCATGGAGTTGCTATCCTTGATATCTCCCATCAGAATTCTGTAAGAGTTTCCGCAGAACCCTTGTCTCCTCAAGTATTTCTCCAGCTTCTTCGGCCTAAACCATACCCAATTCATAGCTCTCCATACCAAATACACTATCAAACTCCATATCCCCACCATTAACCATGCTCCCATTGTCACCTTCTTCATCTCTTCTCTCTCTCTCTCTCTCTCTCTCTCTCTCAATTCTTCCCAAGAAGTAAGAATATGAAATAAAGGGGTGAGGGCTTATATGTACGTACGTATGTACGTATGTACGTACGTATGTATGTATGTATGTATGTAGATGAAGAGAGAGGTGGATGACAGTTGGGGGTGATAAAATGATGGGAAAGGCTGTGTATGTAAAGTGGTAAATTGAGAATTTATTATAACGATAAGTTCGTTTGAGTTATTTCGAAAAACTAAATAAATATTGTATTCCTTTCCTTACGCTACCTGCATGTGGCTTTTTATTGCATGAGGTTGATATTGATATATAGAAAGCCCCCTCTTGTCCTCCATTTCTTTATTTAAAAAAATTTATAATTTCCTCGTTTTTTTCATTTAAAATGGAGTTTTGATATTTTTCTTCAATCGTATTAACTTTTTTCAGTTAGTAAGATTCTCTTCATAATTAACGTTTTGTAGTATGTTTTTACAGTCTTATTTTTTCCCTAACCCTATGTCATATATAAATTGTGCGCTCACTATCAATTGAATTTTGATTTTTGGATGTTTCCAAAGAGAAAAAAGTTATGAAAATAAAACAACAATGTCTACTATCTATAGTCATTCTTTATTTTCGTTCAATATAAATCATAAATAACGAATATAATATCAAAACATTTTGAAATATACAAATCAATAGTAGTCATATATCTTAAATTATTCTCATATATATATACTTTTATTACATGAAAAATTAAGAACGCTATTAAAAGAACCATAATTTGAACATTTAATGGCTTTTTTTTTTTTTTTTTTATAAATTTTTTTTTGGGGGGGGGGGGGGGTTACAACCTTAAGTATGAAATCATGTCGCTATACTCATAATTAAATTCAATTTTTATTTTATGATCATGTTTTTTCCATGATCATGTGTTTATTTTGTTTATATTATTATTATTGTTTATTAATTCCACATAGGCAGACAAGAACTAGTTATTAATCGCAACGACATTATCAACGGATTATTAATTAAATGGATAAGCTTTGCTTATCGAAAATTCCGAAAAATCCGAACCGATCCGTTATTCGATTCATATCCGAACCGAAAATTCGGATATCCGGAGTTTACGGATCGGATACGGATATTTATTTAGAGATATTTGTCGGATACGGACCGGATACGGATATTAAAATTTAATTATCCGACATATCCGATCCGATCCGTATTTTGTAATAATATTATTAAATATAAGAATAATTTGATATGAAGATTTAAAATGCTTAATATTTACACGTTTTTTAGGGTGATTCAAGAAAAATTTTATATATATTGAGGTTTATAATAATCTTTTGAATATTAAGATTTAGTATGTTTAATGTTTTGAATTTTGAATTTTGAATATATTTGTATGTGATAAATTATAATTATATTTATATTTGAGTTGATTTGAAATATTTAAATTATGAATTTTAAATTTGTGAATATCATTTATCTTAAATAGATTGTATATTTTATTTATATCTGAATTTTTTATTTAATTTAAATTTAAAATTTTATAATATTTTAGGTCGGATACGGATATCCGCAAATATCCGTGATTTTTACGAATATCCGAAGTTGCGGATATCCGAAAATTACGGATCGGATACGGATAACAAAATCGAATATTTGTGCGGATCGGATACGGATACGGATATCTCAAAAATCCCGGATATCCGATCCGTGCCCACCCCTATCCAGAACTATATCAGTAGCTAGTGAGGCACTTGTGTGGCGGAATTAATTCGCTTTTCAGATATAAAGTAGATGTATCTAAATCCAATTTAGTTAAAATTTTGATTTTATATATATAATAACTTAATTTTGAATTATGAAAATTAAAAGGGTTGGAAAAATAAAATAAAAAATCCAAGAACCAACCATATGTGTTAAAAATCGGATAAATATATTGATACAGATGTGGATATATATATACACACACAAAAAACTAACTAACATGAATTTGAATTATGAAAATCAATAGGGTTAAAAATAAACAAGAAGATACAAGAACCAACAATATGAATTCAGAATGCGTAATCATTTTCCGATAAGTGTTATCCTAGACCAAGATCCAGACTAATTCCGAGAACGGGAGTCAGCCGTTTGAATTATATGCTCCCTCTCCAAACTTGATCTTCGAACTCGGGATGAGACAGACGCTTTGCACCATTTTTACCGGTTGAACTATCCAAATTTGGATGCGGATAAATGAAATTAACGAAATATATATTTGGTATTTGATTTATCATTCGGATTAGGATATTTTGGATTTTTTTCTTAATATGCGTGTTTACATCTAAAACGTAATATAAAATTAACCGGAAGGAGCGTCTTTTAACGTTAATGATAATTAATGGCTCTTAAATTCATATAATTTTATTCCAAAATATCTAACAAAAAATTGCATGTGACAAATTAAGAGATATATGATATAGAGATTCTCAGATGCTAGTTGAAGTGATGAAAATTAGATCATTGGAGGCTTTGGGAAGGCGGGAAAGCTTGTCGAGTGCAACGGCGGTCTCATCGCTTTCAGCGTCTGCGATATGTATCGCCATATTCTTCATCACATTGCCTTCCATCACGAAACGCGACGCAAACGCAAACGCCTCCTCTGAGCCGTCGAAGTCGTAGATCCATACTGACTCCATTTTCTTGTCCATGCATGGGAACGGTTTTGTCTCTTTCCAAGGCTTTTGTCCCTCCATCAGACACCGTTCCTCATCCTCAGGAGCTCTTCTCTGTCATGTTATGTGTTTATGAGCCATTCCATATCGATCATCTTCACGTATATACATACACATATATGTTTGTATATATAAGTTGAAGCAGAAGATATATATATATATATATATATATACATACCTTCAGACAGATTTCAAGCATGGCCAAGCGACCGCATTCCCTAAGAAGTTTCGACAAAATCTCCATGTCTCTTGGATTCTTCACGTTCACATTTACCGACATAACTCCCAAATGCCTCAGCAAACCGGTGTTGCCCATCAGTATTTCGCACTCGATGCTTTCATTGGCCTGATGACATACATACGTATACATATATATATATATATATATGTATGTATGTATGGGTGTATAAATAGAAAAGATTAGATGTCTTAATCAATGTAACAATCAATGTGTGTATAACTTTTGTGAAGGAAAACCACTAGTTGGTAGTCCAGTGGTCGAGAGGTGATAAAGTCATTTTAAGGTTCTAAGTTCGATTTCGCTAATGGTAAGAAGGAAACACAATTAATTGAATGACTAAAAACTGACTTCAAACCTATAGGCCGAAGGCCTAGTGAACCTCCTACTTATCCAAAAAAAAAAACTTTTGCGAAGAAAAGTGTGCTTAATACCTCGATTCGATCTTTGACACTGCCTGAAATGTTATAGCCTAAGTAACCTTCATTTCTGCTCCAGTAGCTTCTGTGAAAGGCGAGTTTCGGAGCATTAATGGTGAAGTGTTCCTTCCGACAACTTAGGTCATCAAGAACAAGAACATCAAGATCAGGCGCATCCACCTCAATCATGGGAACGGCCAGTCCAGACAGCTCCAAGAACTTCAAGCTGTCGTTGTAAATCTTGAGATCGACGTTCATGTTAAAAACAAACCTAAGGACGAGTTCTTTGAGGTAAGGGCAGAACAGAAGTATCCTGTTGATATCGTTTGATTCAACGAAAACCCTAACGAGCTTAAGGGTCAAGAGGTTATAGCAATTCCAGAACCCGAATTCGGTGGGTATGCAGAAGCGATTGAGCTCAAGAGAATGGAGGCTCCTGCCGGCGAAAATCTCACGGGGAAAGTTGATGGCTACACTTCTGTAGTAGTCGTACTTGCTTTTCGGGTAATCCCAAGAACCCGTTTCGCAGATAAGAGCGAGATCTTTGATGTCTTTGTCGTGCACAAGATACCGGACCCAATCTATGACATTCCCTTCCCTAACATGCTGCAAGAAATGGTGGATTCTACAGCTTTCCATAGAACCATGGAAATTGCGCAGAACCTGTAACCTCAAAAGCCAATACAATATATGTATATATGTCTTGGAATTAGATCGAGTTGCGGACAGAACCGTAAAGATGTTTGGTCTTTAAACGTATATTCCTTTTCTTGGACTCAAAGAAACCCATTCGGAAAACACTTAAAAACGGTAATATATGATTTTATGTTTTGAGAATCCAAACGTTTTTTTAAAACTCACCAAACTATAGAATAGTTTAAACTTTGTCATAAAGTTCATTAGCGTCTTGTAGGTCATAAAGTTACAAACTTCAAAGAATTTCGAGCGTATATATACGAAAACGAACCTCGATCATGAGAAGAGAAGCATGATTTCCGGCTAGTACTGCCAGCTGCCGGGGAACGTTCATGAATCTGCGCATGTCAAAGACGAGATCCGGGTTCTGCCGCCAAACATTTTCCCATCTCTTTGACAAAACACATGTACGCATCGCTTCTTCTGTGGACAATCTCTCCAAGATTGTCCCAAGGAGCTCGTCAGGGAGTTTGCTGATGAAATCATTTCCGACTCCATCACATTCACATGCCCTTGTTTGGTTTTGATGATTGGATAGTGAATCCTCCATTGATTCCACTCGGCTTGGGGGGAAGACAGAGGGTCGATCTCTAAATGTTTAGGACAAGATCACAAAGCAGGAAATGTAAGAGATCGAGAGAGAGAGAGAGAGAGAGAGAGAGAGAGAGAGACTGTGTGTGTTTATAAGCATGAAAAGGCACAAGCTGTGGGGCAAATATCAGAGTAATGTCATTACAGATAAATCCTACAAGACTATTTTAGGGTTGTCTCATTTGGACATTTCTTAAATGTGGTTTCCTTGTTTTAAAAAAGAGAAAAAAAAGAGTTGACCACATAGTCAACGGAAATAAAACACTTGGAGATATGCATTCAAACATAAGAGATCCTTCATCACAGACACTTTGAAGCAACCGTTTCTTATTGAATTTCATAGAAAAATAAAGGTACAAAGGTCAAAAGATAGGAAATTCATTGTATTGAAGCTGTACAAACAAATACAGAATTGAAGGAAGAGCAGATTCACCAGTCCTCTGCCCCTTTGGATACACCAAGAATCGCAGCAATGGTGACGAGAATAGCCTGCGTGAGTGAAGAGGTAACTCATAAACACCAAAACCACAAATAGCAAGTGAGATGTGCATGTTGTTCTTAACCATCATCAACCTCGAAACTGTCAAGTGGTTGGTTACTCTTTGTGACATACTAACAGGGAAGTATGGAGGGTGAGGGGAGGCACAAGAAAAAATATGGGGTTGGAGATTTAAAGGGCAAGGATGAAAAAGCTCTTTTTTATGAAAAAAAAAATCTTGCAAAAGGAAAAAGGAGAAGTATTGGTAAGAAACCACTCACAGCAATGGTGCAAGCAATGTATCCTGGCTTCTCCCGGTAGTCTATCCTCCTTCCACACATCATGATAAACAACCCGACATACCAAGGGATTGCACCGAGGAAGAAACCGATTATGAACCTTCAAAAAGGTTAAATATTTTATCAGAATCTGTAGACGATTGAGTACTATTCGGTTATACTCTACAACCAAGATCACCGTAGCCAGCAAATATCCTGAGTACCATTCGATCCAAACATGCAGGATCTTGGTAGAGTTTATGTTCAACCAGATGAAGGCAGACATAGAAATTGTAATCTCAGAAAGAAGCAGAACTTTGTTAGTCTTTGGGATTTCATTTGAAGGATACACAAGAAATGGGAAACTTACAGGAACCAACCGAGACCAATCCCACAGCAAGGAAGGCGGCGTTGTCTCACAGGTCTTCCTTCAGCAACAGCATAAACTGGAATGGAAAATTGGAAATGGGGGTATAGCTAAATATTTCCTCAGTAAATCAAACATGCAGATATATGACAATACCTAGGCTATCCCTACCTCTCCACAATTTCATCTTGCCACATCAAAAGAAGCTATGCATACATATCCCATTTACAAGCTAAATATTTTCGCCATATCCAGACGAACAAGAACAATGCAGGTCTTGGATTCGATCGAAGACTATAAAACAAAAATCAAACCAATAACAAGAAGCCTAAATACCCTGAACCCCATATATAATATTATAACAAGAAGCCTAAATATCTTGAACAAAGAACGAACAACTTTACAATCCTTTATTAGTTTCTCTTCGCATAGGTCCCCACAAAAAGAGTCTTTGGCCGTAAGAGAAAATCCAAGCAGCAAACCTTTAAGTCGTATCTATATCCAATCGGTAAAAGATCGCACATTTACTTTCCAGGCTTTGCTCAATAATCAAAGTTGCAGATATCTGATCCCATACCTATCCCTCTCCATACTTTCATCTCACCATAGCCAGACAAATCAGAACGAACCAGGTCTTGATCCAACAGAAGACACTTTATAAGATTTTAACTACGTTGACCTCAATTCCAACTTCAGATAATCCAATTCAAAAGAACCAGAATATCCTCGATCCCCATATCATTTATCATAAAAAGAAGACCAAAAATCTTGAACAACAAAGGGACAATCTCACAACCTAAATTGGTTTCTCTAGCCGTATGATCAGCCTCTGTCCAGAAGAGTAGCTTCAATACCAAATTCATACACTACTACGAGCAAGAAAAGAAAAAAACCCATCATCATCGACATCGACCAGAAGAGTAGCTTCAATACCAAATTTCACACCAGAAATTTTCCAATCGGCATGTAAAAAAGACGCCTGCAAATACACATACGCATACGTATATTTGTGTAATGTGTACAGGAGTGCACCTGGGACGGTCTGGTATCCATGGACGTAGTAGGAAGCAGTAGAATCGTAAGATCCCGACGATGGAGCAGGCTGCGGGAAACCGGTGATCGGCGGCGAAATCGGCGGCGGAGGGTAATTGGCGACGCCTTGAAATGTTCCGTACTGATTCTGATGATCCCCTGCGACGCCTCTGCTCCTCTCTTCTTCTCCACCGCTCATCTTCTCTCTCTCTCTCTCTCTCTCTCTCTCTCTCTCTCTCTCTCTCTCTCTCTCTCCCGTCGACAGTT